GATTATGCTGGATGCTGCATTAGGAAATGGATGTACAATAAGAACGCCGAGACCGAGGACGGCATAAAAAGAGAGAGGGAGTGATGCGGCAGTGTCCTTGACCGGCGGCAGACCCGACCGTTTTTTTTCCCCCCTGCCTTGCGCCACAGGAATGAGCGTCATGACATGAATATAGATTGAGGCAATATTAAAACGCGCCGCCCTGGAAATTTGTGACGTCTTTCAAACAGCGGCGACCTCAACAAAGTTTCTTTCATCTGTACATTTAGGCATCATTTAAGCATCGTGCGAATTTTGCGCGATGATTGCTCACAGATTCCGCCCTTTAGTTACTTTAGGAAAGCGATGGGAATAAAATTTTTTTGAGATTGCAACTCGGCGCTGGCCCGAGGACCTGCCCACTGACTGGGAAGAATTCTGGGAATTATGTTTTCTGCTGACCCCACATAAATAATGAACTTGAAATGGGAATCTAGACTTTCGGATATTGACGCATCGTTCATGTCATGGAAATATGTTAAGCTTTCCCTTTTTGCAGATAATGTGTGATATGAGATGAGGGAAAAAAAATACTTGGGAGATTTATTCCTGAAGGAATGTGACCGAAGGGCACACATTCGAACGTTGAATTTTTATGGAAATCGATAGGCATCATCACCTTTCAGGTCATTCCATTTGGCTGAAGTAAATCATACTCTTTCAAAATGTCCCAAATAAATTCACATCAAAGGCATTTACCTCAAAAGTCCAATAATTTTTCTGAACTCTTCATCCCAATAGCTCCATGTGTCCCAAGTATCCGAATGCCAACCTCTGGAGAACATTGTATGAATTTGCGTCCGTCAATCACTCTGTCGATCAGTCAGGAGAGGCTATACATTATTAGATTATATACGGAAAAATGTTACCAGAAATTATCGGGAAAATTTTGGAAATCATATGTCGATTCTTAAGTCCAATGCCGCTTTTATTTAAATTAAACATAAGTGCCTGACAATCTCTACCTAATGAATTATCATATATCAAGGGGGAAAATATCCATAAACACTTTCACATTCGCTTTTTACATTAATTTTTATATTTTTTATATGCAATTTATTTTCAGCTAAGTTGTTAATTCCGGTTAAACTTAAAAGTGGAAACCCAAAGGAGCAACCTGTTTGCCTCAACCTGTATAACTGCCGTCTCCTTTTCAGGCCTGGAAGCCAGTCGAGGTAGCAGTGCATCAATATGAGGGGAAGTCCACGTCTCTTGTTGTTTGCGATAAACCTTCTTACTGAGTACGGGTCTGGAAATGTAAGTTGAACCTCGTCCGTTCCCGAACTCCTACACGCACATTAAAAAAAAATTGGAGTATTCAGCAGGTGGATTTCCGGGAAGAAGGTCATCTATGATGTTCCAAATAAGCGAAGGGAGGATGTTTTTACTGATGAGTTGGGAAAATTCAAAGTTAAACTCTAGAACCTTTGTATATATATTTTTCCAGCTCTTATGTTTTCGGAGCAATGAAGAATGGTTGATGAGGATTGCGATTTTCCCTCTCGAAGTTAATAATAAATTATTCATAGGTTTTAATGGAATGCCATTTTTGTGATACAAATGTAAGTATACAGTCCTTTTTTGTTTTCCCAGGCACTCGAAAGCACTACTATCCGTGAACGGGAAAATATTGGAGGCAAATTGGAGGAAATTTTGATAGTTCTGAGGACAGCAACGCTAGAACATGCGAAACAAATCGCGCAACTTAAGTCTGAAAACGAGCACTTGCGGAATGACAAGGAAAGCCTCAGGGACGACTACAAGAAATTGAGGAATGACTTCGAGAACATGAGAAAAGAGCACGAAAGCCTCAAGTCTAGCTTGGAGGAACATTTCCGAGAAAGGGACGAACTTAAACTTCAACTGAACACCACGGAAGGAAGACTCCAATATCTGGAGGCAATTACTCGGCAAATAAGTGAGTGAGGACTTGATGAACCCTTAGATCAGAATTGTTGACGAACGTGAAATATAAAAAATATATTTTAGTTGCACCAACGGCATAAATATCGTTGCTTCGGTATCCGCAGCATGCCCCATCACTGCTTGGAATGCCTGATTTAATTAACATTGTTTGTCACCACTGTCTCACCAGTTCATTGCGCACAGCTGTTCTTCAAAGATGGAACTAACTATCGGGAGCATTTAGCGAAGAGCATCGTACACTATTGAAATTCCCTAACTACACATTGTTCCACAACATTCTGATAACTTCGATTAGTACGGCTATTGTATTGGGATGACGAATCTTCGCTTGAATCGCTTTCTTTAGGGGTACAAGAACATGCAAAGCACGTTCAAGTGCTTTTAGACAACCCATGCAACGTTCTCCAAAATGAGCGCACTACCACACTTTGACCAGTTAACGTATTATGCACTGTCACGTGCTTCGCAAGTATACGGCCAAGAGTCAAACGCGCGTCTTCGTGCAACACAGTTCTCGAGTAGAGAGGGCATTATGCACTAACTCTTATATTTTGCCTTCTACAGGGAGGAACTCCGTTACTGTGCGCTGCTTCTTACAGGACGCTCATTTGATCGCTAACGCCACCTTTGAATATGTAATATGCCTGCACATAATGAACAGTGCAGACAGCAGTGACGGCAGCACATCAACCAATCGCATATTCCAGGCAGTGGTATGTCCTTACCTGAATAGCAATTTCTGCCAAAATGATCTAAAAGTGTCAACATCGTGTAATAAGCCCATGCAGAGGAGTAATTAATGTAATATCCCAATCTGATTCAACAAGGATTTCGCTGCTGAACTCTCAACACCCTTATGTGACATTTTCAACGCCTCTCTCCAAGCGGGAACAGTACCCTCTTTACGGAAAGAGGCAATCCCAAAAAAAGCCCTTTCTCGTTCTTGAACGATCTTTGACCCATTTTAGTCACCTGTACAACGTGCAAGATCCTAGAGAAAACTATCATTCGCCGGATGAGCGAAACGATCTCCAAGTTACGTGGATCTCAATAAGGAAACCGTGGAGGCTTTTCGACAACGAATTACTTAGTTGGCCTCTTCCACAAAGTCCATACGCATTTCGACGCTGGACTTGCAGAATTTTGTGTACTTGTTGATTGTAACAAAGCGTTTGCACGGTAGGCCATACTATTCTCCTGAACAAAATATCCCTACTTGAGAGAGATGCTTGCATGAAAACCTGGCTAGCGTCATTCCTGAATAAAGGATCCCAGCGTACTCGCTACAACGGGATCCTATCTGATTCCCTCCCACTCGTATGCGGGATCCCCCAAGTCACAGTGTTGGGTCCCTTACTGTTTTCCGTGATGGTCAATGACGACGTGCAAGTTGGTGCCCAAGTTTTCAAGTACGTCGACGAGAAAACCATGATGGTGATCCATCCGAAGAACTCCATCCCCGATCTCCAGCCTGCCCTCTTGCAACAAGAGGAATGGACCCACGCTAACAATATGAAGCTTAACCCTAACAAGTCCACAGCGATACAATTCTGCTTTTCAAAGTACCTCCCCATCCATCACAATCTCCACATTGCAGGCCATGTTTTGGCGAAAGAGACCTGCACTCGCCTTTTGGGTGTGTGGATCCAGACGACCTCCACTGGAACGAAGACGCCAAGGCGATAGTAGCCAAGACATCAAGACAATTGCTCATGCTCAAGATCTTCAAATCCTTCGGAGCGCCCCGTCAAGATTTACTTGATGTTTGGTCCTCGTACATCGCCCCAGTATCAGAATACGCATCCCGTGCCTGGAGCAGCTCACTGACCACCAATTTGGCAAATTCAATTGAGCTAGTCCAAAAGCGCACTTTTCGGCTCATCCTTGGGAGCGAATTTATGTCACATGAGGAGGCACTATCTACTCTTCAGCTACCATATCTGGTAAACAGATGAAAGAAGCTCACGTTAAAATATGTCCAAACTCTTCCAGTCAACCCATCTCGTCGAAATGTACTGCCCCGCCCAATCTCCCCCCCCCCCCCCGGAAGGTGCCCTCAATGACCTTACGACAT